TCCTAAATGTTAAGGAAAGTAGTTTTCCAGCTGGCACATAATTAACTCAGTGTGTCTATTTTAAATGAATCTGCTTTACCCTCTGCAGTCAAATGTTGTATGACAGAGAACATTTCATACTGAGGTGTGGCAACATCCGCCTACACCAACATGGGCACATGCATGCAGCATCCCTGCTTCCCCATTGGCTACAGATACAGTGGAACGATGACATGCAGATCTCAGACAGAGTTCAGCCATTGGCCGTTTGGAATACGTGGACACATGCGCGCGCACACACGTTCAGAGCATTGGTTTAGGAGATTTAGATTGTGTGGGTTCATCAGAACATGCTGAACTAATAAGGACTGCTTAAGATTATTAATGAAGCCTTTGGAATGTGGGCTGAGAAGCCTTTATAATGGAAATGGGTCTGATAGATTATGGCTCAATAGCTAAAAAAAATACTCCCCCACAGGGCTGGGGTATCCAGGGTCCCGGTGCAGGTTCTTGCTGTGGGTCTCCTTTAAAGCATGTTCCCCCCTGATTTGGGTTAGGGGGGGCTGTCACGCTCAGTTGAAATCGCAGGGGCCCCATAAGACCAGGAGCCCCTAGAATCCTTTAGTGATGGCCCTGCTCCCACACCCCACTTTTCCCCAAGAGTTTGGCATGTTCTTTTGATGTTGAACAGCACGTGAAGTCTAAAGTAGTAGATGCAGTTGCAGGAACAATCTCACAGAAACAAGTCTAGGTCACATTTCCCCCTAACATCGAAATAATATAATGCAGGAATAAGTTATTTTCATGACAAATCTCATTACTGTAAAGTATTCAGTTATTAATATTATTACCAATATACTCAGTGGAAAGAAATGCAGTAATGTAAATGTATTGTGATTTTTTTTAAAAAAAACGTTTTTTATTGTTGTTCCTTTAATTAAATTACACCTAGATCAAGAGTTAAATTCCCAGGAAATGCATGAAATGATATACCTTGAAATTGTTTATTTATTTGTTTAATAGTTAAATAAATAAATCATAATACATTAAAATTACTGCATTACATTCCAATATTATTACAATATTGGTAATAATAATAATAACTGAATACATTACAGTAATGAGATTTGTCTTGAAAATAATTAGATAGATAGATAGATAGATAGATAGATAGATAGATAGATAGATAGATAGATAGATAGATAGATAGATAGATAGATAGATAGATAGATAGATAGATAGATAGATAGATAGATAGATAGATAGATAGATAGATATGAGAGTAAAAAAATTAAAATATCCTTAATTGTTATGACAACACAAAAAATCTTGATGGTAAAATAGGTATAATTTTCTGAAAGCATAATATAATTTAAAATGTCCATAATTTCATTGCATATTTTTTATTTATTTTGGTGCCAAATGTGTCAGCAGCTAAACTACACACTAGGAAAAATGCTCATGTCTCTAAGGACACCTTTTATTAGTATATTATGAACACATTTCTCTTTGTGTGCCAATGGAAATGTGCTTTGTGCACGTGTCTTTGCCTGTGTTCTCTTTGCAGGGACGAATGACAATTGACGTGGAGCTTCACCTTCCCAAAAAAGCCAAAGTCTTACCCAAGCCCAACCAGCCAGTCCACTATGACGTGTTCCTCTATAAAGTGGCTAAATCGCCTGCGAATGGCAAGGTGAAGCACAGGGTGAGATGGGAGGACTGTGAGTCTCCCTTCTACAGTCCAGTCAGCACACTCTCACTGCCTGCAATCATCCACAGCAAGACCTCGCTAGGAGATGACATGCACACAGTGTTTGCCCTCTGAGCAGAGACTCTGACCGGTCACACCAGAGCATGCTTTATCTATCCTCATGGTGCTCGAGCAACACTGTAAAATGGAGACTTTCATACAGACATTCATATTTGCTTAATAAAATGGCGCTCAGACTGTACATTTGAAGCATCAACCGAATGTAATGTGATAAGATAAGTGGTTTCTTCATGTCTTATCTGAAATCAACAAGCATTGGTAGAGAAACGTTCTCAGAACGTTTGCTAAATGTTCTGGCAAGGTTCTCTCAAAGTTACGAGCAATCGTTCTTCCGGTAACGTTAATAAAATAGTTGTTCAGTGTTATCTGGTCTATGGTCAAATGTTCTCAAAACGTTTGCACGAAAACATTATTTATACATCTTTCATGGAACTTTTGTTTTTGGTAACACTTTATTTCGATCAGAGGTAACAAAGTACGTTTACAATTACTGTACTTAACACTACTGTACTTTACACTATTTTTTCTGGAAATGTTTAACTTTAACTTTAACTTCACTACATTTGAAAGACAAATATGGTACTTTTTACTCCACATTTCTATCAAGGTCCTTGAGTAGAAAGTAGTAACGTCAGTCAGGGGATGATTTTGGTTGCAGGGTTGACATTTTGGTTGGAAATGAAAGTCGGGTTGACTTCATAACCCGAGGTCAGATTGAAGTCATAACCCGACGTCGGATTGACATCAGAACCCAACGTCGGGTTGACGTCAACATCCTACATTGGACAGACGTTGGATTTTAGTTGGAAATGAAAGTCGGGTTGACGTCAGAACCCGACTGATGATCAACGTTGGGTATGGTCTTCTAAATGTGAATTTTGTCATTGTTTTGGAGCACACTTGCTTATAGATAACAGTAAGGCTAACATTCATACTAAAAGCCAAAAGGGCACTATTTGAGGGAACAGCCATTTGGGTGTCCGAAACCATTGTGGACGTTATTGAGTGCACTTATACAATTTCACATTCAATTCCACTATGGAACTGTGTTCTAGAAAAAATTTTTATAGACAATGCGTTGACATTTGCTTTCTACTTTTGATACTTAAGTACTTTTAAAAACGAGTTCTTCTGTACTTTTACTTAAGTAAAAATCTGTCTTTACAACTTTTACTTGTAACGGAGTAATATTTCACCAGTAGTATCTGTACTTTCAATCAAGTAAGGAAGATGTGTACTTTATCCACCTCTGATTTCGATGGTCCACTTTAGACATTGTTTGTAATGATACTTTGCAACTACATGTCAACTAGCATTCTGTATGCATAATATCGGCTAACACTTTATTTTGATGGTCCGTCAACAGACATTCTACTGACTATAAGTAATTTTGCAAGTACATGTCAACATATTCTATTAACACCTAACCCTAACCTAAAGAACAGTCTACTACAGTCTTCTAATACTCCAATGAAAGTTAGTTGGCATGTAGTTGCAAAGTTATAGTCAGAGTCTAAAGTTGACCATCGAAATAACGTGTTACCTTTTTCTGAAATGTTTTAGTTGGATCTTAATTTAATCTTCAAAAAAAATTTGTTTGCTGTGATGTTCTCATGATGCTAATTAAATGGACTGTACCATAATGCATGAAATACACAGCAAATGTTTCTCTGAATAAGATGGTCGCTGAGCTCTTGGGAATTTATCATCGGCAGATTGTTTGGGGAAACCTTTTTCTGCGAACAATAAATCAGACTTTGAAACAGATCATCTCATGTTTTTGCACATATGCACATATTGTAATTTATAGTACGGCAAACAGGTTGAGAAAATGAATAAATGCTACCACATGTTTCACTGCAAACTTGACACACTAAAACCTTGCAAGAAAATACAGAAGACAATCCATGACAAATTTGTTTATGAAATTTAAAGGGATAGTTCACCCAAAAATAAAAATTAGATAATTTAGCTCACCCTCAAGTTGTTCCAACCCTGTATACATTTTTTTCTTTTGCTGAACACAAAAAGAAGATATTTTGAAGAATGTCTGCAACAAAACAGTTGATGGACCCCATTGACTTCCATAGTAGGCCTATGTATTTTCCCCATACTAAGTCAGTGGGGTCCATCAACTGTTTGGTTACCCATATTCTTCAAAATATCTTCTTTTGTATTCAGCAGAAGAAAGAAACTCATAGCCTACAGGTTTGGAACAACTTAATTGTGAGTAAATGATGACAGATTATTCATTTTTTGATAAACTATCCCTTTAGGAGAGCTTAACATGATAGAATCTAAACTCAAAGCAGGTCCACTGCATGAAGACTTCATTTTCCAAGCCCCTTTACACATGCTTTCAAAACATGATCAATCTACCGAACCTGATCTCCATTTAGGCTGAACTGATGTGGTTTTGGTAACATGGTCTGTGAAGATCTTACAGAACAGAGTGTGAACAACGACGTGTGTTCAAAGCGGCCTCCGAAATACCGAAAGCAACAGGGCCGTCTCTTGAACTGCAGGGAGCTCCAGGGCACCTTTTGTGTCACATGGGATTAAATTAGAACGGTCCATTAGCTTCTATGTGACACAAAGACACAATGACCTGCTAGTGAAACCTAATACACTCCGTGTCTGAGTTTTGGTTTTCACAAATTTTTTTTTGTATTTCATAAATCACAGAAAACTGATATTTTCCACAATATAACTATAATAATAACAATATAACAATATGACAATTTTTTCATTATTAAAGTGTTAAGAAATAAGGTATCTGACCGAACCATCAAGGTGATAATCATCCACAGTCCACCACGATGCATAGGCTATTGCACATGAACAAGGTCAAGATTTATTTGCCAAATGTCTAAAAGACTAACATGCCTAGGTCACATTTCTCCCTAAAATCTAAAAAAATTATATAAAATAATAAATATTATCATAACATTTGTCATTGTTGTAATGCATCCATACATATTTTTTTCTTATTACATAGGTAGCCTATACTAGATGACAAAAGAGACCACACCATGGCTTACACCAATAGCCTATAAAATACACCTATACATATAGCACTTTGGGTTTAGACGTAACAAATATGGTACACGTCTGTGGCAGTCATTTGAACTTGAAACAATTATTATCCAAAGAATGCCGTGGTCTCTTTTGTCATCTAGTGGTTGAGTATTACATTACATGCTGGAGTATACAGGAAGTGCGGAAACCGGATGGGGCTTTTATTTTGAAACACTTGTTCTTTTTTTCATCACTGTTGCCGCTGGCTTGACGCTTCATTACTACTTGAGACCATTGAGTCACTATGTAACAGCAGAAGCCGAGCTTTCCAAATTACATAATTGTATGCAGGTAAGAAGTGTTATGTCGCACTTTTTTATGAATAGCCTATAATTTGCATTTAATTTAGCATTTATTCTGGGTTTTAGGGTAACGTTTACACATTTTTTCACTGCAAATTTTATGTCAGCAAAGGTAAAGCATGTTAGAAAGTCGGCAAACATTGACAGACTTATTTATAATATGTCACTTTCTTCTAAATAACTACAAGGATTATTTGCAGGATGTTGCCGTATATCTGTTTTATAACGAGACTCGCTCTATATAGTTATGTATGGATTGAGTTCAACTCTGACCAGTTAAACAGATAACGGCCAGTTTGTATTGAAGGACACATTTTTCTGCCCTCTTTTGTTTGAATATGATAAATGACCTTATCAGGGGCCACCACCCTGTTACTCCCATCAGACCTCGACTCATGGCAGTGGGGCCCCATGCCAGTGTTGAAACCCCTTCTTAATCTTTCAACTGTCAGATGCATTCAATGTCCAATATGACCAAATGGCAGAATGTGCCTTAATTTTTGTGTTTTAGGCACACAAAAAATGACAGGTTGGATGTTTAAGTAGGCTATAACAACATGTAGCTACTTACTAGGTTAGGGTAGGATTAGGATTTGGTTGAGGGTTAGTTAGTTGCATGTAATTATGCATAATTTACTGTTATTACTATGGTAAGTACATGTAACAAGGACACTGTAAAATAAAGTGTTACCCACTTCTGTATTTTTTACTCATGGTCTTGCTGATATAAATGTTGATCCATTGTCATTGTTATGTCTTGTTGCAGGTGTGGGAGTGTTTGGAGCTGAATGCAGAAAATTGTAGCAGTGCTTGGTGGGGGGATTGGGGGTCTGTCGGCCTGTCATCATCTGAGCAAGAGTCCTAATGTTTCCAAGGTACAGTATCCGTGAATAATATGCTTAAAATCTTAAGCCAATCTACATTTGTACGACTGTTCAACATTTTTTTTTAAATGTCTTTGAAATGAGTCTCTTGTGCTCACAAAGGCTGCAAAAACCATATATTGTGAATAATAATATATTGAGTACTATTGTGAAATATTATTAAAATGTGAAATAACTTTGTTCTATTTTAATATATTTTAAAATGTAATTTATTCCTGTGATGGCAAAGCTGAATTCTCAGCATCATTAATCCAGTGTCACATGATCAGAAATCAGAAATCATTCTAATATGCTGATTTAATGCTCAAGCTACATTTATTATTATCAATGTTGAAAAGAGTTGTGCTGCTTTTTATTTTTTTTATTTTTTTTTATAAACGGATGATTTTTTTAAATTCCTTGATGAATAGAAAGTTCAAAAGAGTAGCATTTATTTTAAAAGGAAATCTTTTGTAAAATTGCAAATTCCTTTACTGTCACTTTTAATTAATCCATTGCATACTTGCTGAATAAACATATTAATTTATTTGAAAGATAAAATAAATCTCTCTGACCCCAAACATTTGGACGGTAGGGTACAAGATCACAGGCAAAACATGCTGTTTATTTGAAAAATGTTCCACTTCCACAACCCTGGTATCCTGAGGACCTTGACCACTTGTGATCCTTGATGAAGCAATGAGATGATTTGATTCAATAGATCTGCTTTCATTGGTACGTTCAACATGAAGATCCACACATGTTACCGCTGTGTTATAGATGGTGCTGCTGGAGGAATCTGGGAGATGTGGGGGTTGGTTGAGCTCCACACGGAGGGATGACGGGGCAGTGTTCGAGCATGGACCACGAGGGGTGCGACCTGCAGGGGCTGTCGGCCGGAACACTTTGAATATGGTATACATATGTGAACTTATGTACATGGAAAAATCTATGTAAAGCTATGTGAAAGTTGACACACATTTACATAGTCAGTTTCATATTTTAAGAATTGCAATTCACATGATCACGTGCATTTAATCTCCGATATTATAATTGGTATGTAAAACCGATTATTGTGTTGTATGGAAAAAATTACTGTTACTCACAACCTCTCATGGCTTATTGCTTTTAAAATGGGGAGGCAGCAGCAATATTATAAAACACCAATGTTCAATAAATAGTTAAATTTATTTATTATAATAATAATAACGTATGATTTTGCTAAATAAAACAGCTTCATGCAAGAATTAAGTCAGAATTAAGAATTGAGTCATTTACTTATTATTATTTTTTAATTATTTTGAGATAATGTTGGTCTTGGCCATTGTTATTGTTGTTCCTTTGCATGGCCACAAGAGGGCCACCATACATTTACATTTAGTCGTGAAGCAGATACAGTGTTTTTTATTTTTTTATATAGTTTTATTCATAATTTGACTTAGTATTTATGAATATTTATATTTTATCTTATTTCAGCTGCATTATAATTAACATAAATGTTTTTAATAGTTTTCGTTTTAGTTAACAGTAATAATCCAGGTCTTAAGTGAATTACTGTACACATGAAGAACATCAATTTGTTGTTAAAGCAAACAATATTTGCAGTACATAATGCCAAGATTTAATAGTAGACAAGAGAAGAAAACTAGTTAGAGCAGATGTGTAATGCAAAGAAGGCTGCATTTATTTGATCAAAAGTACAGCAAAAACAAAAAATGTTGTGAAATATTATTACAATTTAATATATTATAAAGTGTAATTTACTCATGCAATGTCAAAGCTGAATTTTCAGCATCATTACTCCAGTCTTCAGTGTCACATGATCCTTCAGACATTTTTAGAATATGCTGATTTGCTGAAAGAGACATTTCATATTATTATCAATGTTGTAAACGATTGTGCTGCTCAATTTTTGTGGAAACTGTGATGCATTTTTTTCAGGATTCATTGATGAATAGAAAGTTCAAAAGAACAGCATTTATTTGAAATAATAATTTTTGAAACATTATAAATGTATTTACTGTCACATTTGCCACATTATACCTTTGCTATAAGACCATTCTATCTCCATTTATTCCTAATATTGTTTGAATTTTCTTGCATATGCATCATCTTTTCTGATTTACTTGAAGTACTTTGAGGAAGTGTGCAAATTGCATTCCAAGAGACAGAAAAGCCTGTTAAATCTAAGTAGCAGCTGATGAAATGTAGTATTTACAATGTACCTTTCTGCAGGGCCCTACGGATGAATGGTCATATTGATGGAGGATGAACACTGTTCTAGTTAATGTTTTCTTGTGCAGGTCTCTGAGTTGGGTCTCGAGTCTGAAATCCTGCCAATTACGAAGGATCATGTGGCGTCTAAGAACCGCTTCTTGTATGTGAAGGGACAGCTGCACAAGATGCCGTCAGGACCTGGGTGAGAGAAAAGTCCACCGTGCGTTCAGTTACCTATTTAAAGTAATAAATATTTCTCATCTTGTTCTGCTTTCCTCTAGTGGGGTTTTCCGCACCATCCCTCCTTTCTCTCGTCCCATAATTCAGAGTGTTCTGAAGGAGATACTGATCAGTAAAGGGAAAGAGGAGGACGAATCCGTGCATGCGTTTGTGTCCAGACGACTGGGTTCTGAGGTGAGAACAAGCGTAGAGGCACAACGACCTGTTAAACGATCCATCTCGTCCTTGTGCTGTACAACACGCTTCTCTGCCAAATCAGTCTCAAATGTGTGGCGACAGGAGAGAATCTGAAACCGGTTCAACCCACCTGATTGTCTCTCTCTCTCTACGCAGATGGCAGATATAGCCATAGACAGCCTGTGTAGAGGAGTTTTTGCTGGAGACTGCAGAAAGTTGAGTGTACGGTCCTGTTTTCCACCTCTTTATAAAGCAGAGCAGTCTCGGGGCTCCATCGTGCTGGGCATGCTGATGGGTTCAGGTGAGCGCTGTAGGTGTAAACCTAGTGTTTACCTTTTATGCATTTCTTTTTCTTTCTTTCTTTTCAAAATGCCACCATGCAATAAACAGTTGTGCTCCTTAATGTTTTTGTGCAAACCGGGTTCAATTTCTTTGATCAAAAAGATATACGTATACTATTAGTGTTGTCAAAAGTACCGACTTCGGTACCAAGTCGGTACTTTTGACAACACTACTAATGATATAATTGATCATTTATATACAGTAGTCAACATTTGAAGTGGATCATCAAAGTTGTCCTAAGACAAGAACGGGTATTGTTCAAAATTCATGTTTAACTTTGATGAAAGGTTTTGATCCACTTCAAATGTTGACTACTTTATATACAGCTATATATAATAAAATGCATGAAATGTTATATTTAATGTATTTTGATGTTAATTATAAAGGCATTAAAAGACCTTTTATAATGCTTAATATGTACAAATTTCATAGAAGGGGTTACCGAATAATGTTTGTTATGTAAGGAGGTGGTCCTGAAGTCGTCCCTTCAGACTTGGCAAAGAGAGCGTCTAAAGAGTCCTGGACTCAGTGGTCTCTAAAGAGGGGCATGCAGACACTCCCAGAAGCCCTGGAGGACAAGCTGAGGATGCAAGAGCGAGTGGAGATTCATCATCATGCCAAAGTGAAGAGTCTGAACATGGACGGGGGAGGCTGGGAGGTGAGATGATGGCCCAACATGAAGCGTCTTGTTCACTACGTAACATATTTTGACATTCAGCTAAGATGGTCTGACTCTATGTCTTGTAGTCCATCATTATTAGTAAGTGTGTTCTTATTTTTCAAAAAATTTTTTTTTTAGATTAAACTAGATGATGGGACTTCTTTGAAAGCTGATCATGTTATTTCTACCCTGCCTGCATCAGGTAAATGCACTCACTTTACAGTGTTGAACTCCAATGTTTCCTATTCTGGTACACAACAAGTTTTTCTTCATTTTAAAGGGATACTCCACTTTTTTTGGAAATAGGCTCATTCCTGCGTAATAATCAAGAAACTTTATTGCCTTAACATGAGTGCAGCAGGCGTAATGATATGACGCAGCGCCTGAAAATAGGCTATCTTCCGTCAACACAACGGAACTATTTTCAGGCGCTGCGTCATATCATTACGCCTGCTGCTCTCATGGTAAGGCAATAAAGTTTCTTGATTATTACGCAGGAATGAGAGTATAGTTCCTAGCCATATCAGCCTAGAAAATCGCAACTTTACATTTTCCGTCGGTCTTAGTGCACGATGTAACTACAGAAGAGTCAAGTTTTAAATAGGAAAAATATCGAAACTCTTTGGTCATTTTTTTTTTTAGAAATGCTAATGGTCTTGTCCTCTTCAATGATGTATGCTAAGCTATGCTAAAAGTGGTACCGCCAGAACCGGAGATCGGCTGAATGGATTCAAAAATGGTAAAACTCAACAGTTTAACTCTGGGGGAGTTGTAAAATGAGCCTATTTCCAAAAAAGTGGAGTATCCCTTTAAGTCTAATTTAGTCAGTTTATTTAGTGCATGATTCGGATCCTTAGATTGATTCAAACTAAAAAGTTGAATAGAAATGTTGACATAATTGTGCATTTTCTCACGTTAAATTCAGACTGCAATCTTACAACAAATATAAAATGTGATTTATTTTGGTGTGGCACTATAGATGCACACACTGTGCTCTACTTAGTCAATTTATGGAAAGTTTTTCTGTAAAGCAATTTCTATATGTTCACCAGCTTTGGCTTCTGTATTGCCCCCTGCTTCTCATCCCCTGGCGGAACAGCTGCGATCCATCGCTTCAGTTACTGTTGCTGTGGTGAATTTGGAATATGAAGGCTTCATCCTTCCTGTTACTGTAAGTCTTCACTCAGTGATTTTAAATGGATACAAAAAAAGAGAACAGAGTAATAGAAGCTGCTTTTCCACTGTCAGGCCACACCGTTCTATTCCCTGCCGATCCAGCCCAGCTGGTACGGATATGGTTTTATTTTCCTCTGCGGGGCTGATAACAGAGATCTTTGGAATGTAACGCAAGAGTTTACAGCAGTAAACTCTACAACCGTGCTGAGAATTCAGAGCCAACAATGGTTTGGAATCGTTGTGTGCTGAACCAAGCTCAAGTGGAAATATAACTGGAACCGTTCAGCCCGACTGTTGAAAAGTGGCTAGAGTGTAGACCCCTAGGCCAGTGGTTCACAAACTTTTTATAGTTGCATACCCCCTCTCTTCCCTCTCTTAGGCTGCCATCACACCTTTTCCATGAAGGGACAATATTTTCCCCCTTAAATAGATTTTTAGGTGCATTGTTTTACCTTTTAAAAAAGCAAACTTTTTCTAACCCTATTATATGTATGTCATGTTTTGTCAAATTCTTAAAATTCCATTAATTTAATTATTAATATAATAAATAAAGCATTGAATTAAACTAAATCAATAATTTCAATCATTGCACTGCAGTGGCACAAGCTGCATCTATTTACACACTGTTTATTCCTGCTCAGAGGTGGCATGAATTCAGTTGCAATGGCACAAATAGGCTAATGTTATGAGATAATGTTTAAAAAAAAAAAAAAATGTTCAGTAGAGAAATATGAAAAATTGCATTCTTGCTCCTCAGTAATTCATACAGCCTGCATCAGAGGTTGTATGAATAACTGAATAGCCGCAAGAATGCTTTTTTCCCCAAGAATTACATTTTTCATATTCTTGCTACTATAATATATTATCAACTTTAAAAACAAGAACTCACACAGAGTATGTTTTTGTATCGAAGAGAGTTTGAGTCTTAAATCGGTCTCACTGCACAGTCTGTGTCTATATTTGTTCGTCATGCTAGTAAGTGCTAAATCCCCACTTTTACAAAGATACATTGTTGAGAACAGCAGTAATGTAGACCAATTTGCAAATGTAGCCTATCATATGCACGCTGCTTGTGTGGATGCAGTCAGGTTTGACCGCAAAAGATGAGGTCATTTAAATGGATGTCATGAATTTGACCTTTTACAGCACTACCATTTTCCTGTTTTTACATTAGAAGCAGCATTTTGCCTGTTAGAAATGCATGCTCGGTTTTGTTATTTTAAGGTGGGGCAGAATTAAACAAATGGCAAATCTAATTTGTTCGCTTACCCCCCTCTGTCACCCCGTGTACCCCAGTTCGGGAACCACTGCCCTAGACCATTAAATGCTCAAGTCTGCTTGTTTTGTTCAGTTAATTTTCTCATTACCTAGAAGATCTTTCCTAACTGCACTGTACAAACATCAAAGCACTTTATGTATGTGTGGGCATTATTAATAATGAGTCTGTATGTATGTGTGCACATGCTCTGAATATTTCAGGGCTTTGGACATTTGGTGCCTTCCTCAGAAGATCCAGGTCTGTTAGGTGTGGTGTACGACTCTGTTCCCTTTCCACAACACAATCAGAGTGGAAAACCGACCACTAGGCTGACGGTGAGACTGACCACTCATAAATATTAACCCTCAATGGTTTGGGGTCAGTAAGGTTCTTTTTGTTGTTTTTTTGGAATGAAATTAGTACTTTTATTCAGCAAAGACTTTTACATTGTTACAAAAGGTTTCTATTTCAAGTAAATGCTGTTCTTTGGTACTTATTGTTCATGAAAGAAGCATATTAGAATGATTGTAACCATATTTTTTAATATGAATAAAAGGGTTCTTTCAAAAACATTAAAAAAAATGTACCCACCCCAAACTTTGAATGGTAGTGTATATTGCACATTATACACGTAAATGTCACATGAATTGAGAAATATGATTTTTTTTTTTATCTTTAGCTTTGATTATTACTTTTTATTATAAAATTGAAGTTATACATTTAAATGGGGACAAGGCTAGAAAATAGCCTTCTGGCAAAATGAAAATAACACTCTTGAAAATGAAGAAAAATTAAATAAAGAAACTTTACATATTGTATACTATAGACATATTGGTGAATATTTAACAGTATAGGAAATGATAACCTGAAGGTCTGATTGGCTCTGGAGAGATGCGTCTATTAACCGATACCCTGAACAGCGATTTGTGAGGCCCTGTTTACACCTGGTATTAAGATGTGTTTTGGTAGATCGGACGACACTAAATAAATAAATACAGGTGTAAACGGTGTCTAAAACCACTTTTTCGTGAGCTTATTTCATCCATTAGGTCGAAAGATCTGAAAAAGCCCCTACATTAATATTCGCCTATAGACCCTCCCCTCGAAGAAATCAGGACAGAAGTGGTTGAAAGTGGACAAAATAGATGGATTAAACTCCAGGTGTAAACGGGAATGTGTCCCACTCATCTACTTGTGATTCGATTGAACAAAACGCATCTTAATACCAGGTGTAAACAAGGGCCTGAGTCTCTGTCAGGATTTCTTCTCCCGTCCCCTATCAGGAACATTTTACATGCGGTAATAAAAATAGCCTTCGGTGTTCTGTGGTACTCACAACAAAAAATGCTATTGCATTATTCATTTCTCCCCCACTTAAATCATTATTCATTTAAAAGTTAGATGTCCTTTGCTTGGAACATGTTGTTTTTCCTGTGCTTGAAAACATCTGTATGTTCGAGAGGTCAGAAACGTACAGGAACTGAGTGCCATTAGAGGAGCTGAAATATGCTTTGAGCAATGTTAGCATCCTGAATAACATAATGTAACTCCCTCCGGCTGCGAGATCAGTCCCGTGAGTGGATGTTATGTGGACGATTCCAGCTGTTATCATCACAGAAGCCATTTCTGTGAATGATGTTATTTTCTGTTGTAATTACTGCAGCTCAGTGCTCTAGCTGTTTGTGTGTGTTTGCGTGAAGGTGATGATGGGGGGAGCGTGGTTTGAGCAGACGTTTGGTAGTCCTGATTCAGTGACGGAGCAGAAGCTGTTGGATCGAGCCACCCAGGCCGTGACCTCTCACCTGGGCGTAACCTCACAACCTGTATGGAGCCTGGTTGCTTTACTCAAGGTGAGACTGTGTGTTGAAAAAAAGCAATAAGCCATTGAAGCTGTGCATTACAGTGATTTTACCACAGGTAATGGGTCTTCTATGCAAAGTGCATAAAGCCACATTTGCCTTGGTCAAAGCTATACGAGTAGCTTATAGATATTATAAAATGGAGGCAAATATGAAGTAAAAAAAAAAGAAATGTAAATATTTATAAATATAGCCTTGAGTTGGTAATTGCTTTTAATGAAGTGGTTGCAAATAGTTTGATTTATAGTGTGTGTGTGTGTGTATATATATATATATAATAACCAAGAATGCACCTCTTGATGGAAATACATTTTGTGATGTTATTTTTCATCAAAAGCTGCATACATTTTTGGTCAAGATCTTGTATTGACAATGTTAAGAGTCCAGCACTCTGTAAAGTCTCCTCCAGCACATCCCAAAGACTCTCAATGAATTTAAGGTCTGGTGCCAACTCATGTGTGAAAATGATTCTTCATGCTCCTCCCAACCATTCTTTCACAATTTGAGCCTGATGAATTCATTGTTCATCCTGGAATATGGCCATGATGTGTCTTCCTACATGGTTCTTTAAGAAATGTAAAGCTACACACTCCCATCAATTAGGGTTAGAAGAACTGTTGCCAAACATATAACATGCTGGAAACATAATCACTGCAATAATTATCCAATCATAGACTCTTAAGCATTTGCCTATTTAAATTCTGCGTGTTACTGTCTTTCCACGTGGCAAAGTGATTTTGATTAAATGAAATACATTTTCACACATGTATTCTCTCGTTTTTTCATCTGACAGGTAAATGTATCATGTCAATTTCATAATCAATTCAAAGATAATCAATACAATAACATCAAATGAGTAAAAGATGTAAGTTAAACACGACATTTAGAAATACATGATACGTAGTGCCGGCATCCACTCTGCATCACAGGCTAATTTTGAGTTACAAAACGCCCCGATTCACTTGTTGCATTTCTTTATATAGACAGAAACTTCTTTCACAGGGAAACATGTGCTAACAATGGAAATTTGCATTCAGAGGTTACACCTTTTGAGAGCAGGTGGCCATATGTCTGGAAGACCCAAAACTCCTAAAAACCTTATTACCTTTAGTTTTACTTCTTTGGGAATGAGACCTTTGTACTAGTCGCACTGAGACATTTCAAATGATATCAAACAAGTGTAATACTGTATGATAATTATTCACATTAAAACCATATAGATTTTGGATGAATTTCAGGTGATCTCAGCATGAGAGAGAGAGAGAGTGGGGGTAGAGGGAAAGAGATGTAGATTAGAGTGATTCTGAGGTGAGACTTGCATCTCGAATGGTGCATCAGAGTGAGTTCAAATGTTAATTTCCTTTGTTCTCTCAGAGAGTAGCTCTTTCTTCCGGTTCTACCAGAAAGACTCGGGAGAATAAATACTGTAACAATAGATAAATTTATTGATAGCCCAGCAAGCAATAAAGTTCTTTGGCGTAGCTCGCAATCCGAGGGTCCGGACTCTGCTTTTCCTGCCTGAAGACGAAGGCAGGGGCGCAGCCGACCCCCTGGGAGGTATAGGAAGAGACCATCCTGGTGGTGGTGGGGAGGATGGAGGGGAAGGGACCATCCTGGTGGTGGTGGTGGGGAGGATTGGGGGTGAAAGGACCATCCTGGTGGTGGTGGTGGTGGGGATGGAGGGGAAAGGACCATCCTGGTGGTGGGTGGGGAGGATGTAGGGGAAGGGACCATCCTGGTGGTGGTGGTGGGGAGGATGGAGGGGAAAGGACCATCCTGGTGGTGGGTGGGGAGGATGGAGGGAAAGGGACCATCCTGGTGGTGGTGGTGGTGGGGAGGATGGAGGGGAAAGGACCATCCTGGTGGTGGTGGTGGGGAGGATGGAGGGGAAAGGACCATCCTGGTGGTGGTGGTGGGGAGGATGGAGGGGAAAGGACCATCCTGGTGGTGGGTGGGGAGGATGGAGGGGAAGGGACCATCCTGGTGGTGGTGGTGGGGAGGATGGAGGGGAAAGGACCATCCTGGTGGTGGTGGTGGGGAGGATGGAGGGAAAAGGACCATCCTGGTGGTGGGTGGGGAGGATGGAGGGGAAGGGACCATCCTGGTGGTGGTGGTGGGGAGGATGGAGGGGAAAGGACCATCCTGGTGGTGGTGGTGGGGAGGATGGAGGGGAAAGGACCATCCTGGTGGTGGTGGGGAGGATGGAGGGGAAGGGACCATCCTGGTGGTGGTGGTGGGGAGGATGGAGGGGAAGGGACCATCCTGGTGGTGGTGGTGGGGAGGATGGAGGGGAAGGGACCATCCTGGTGGTGGTGGTGAAGAGGATGGAGGGGAAGGGACCATCCTGGTGGTGGTGGTGGTGGGGAGAATGGAGGGGAAGGGACCATCCTGGTGGTGGTGGTGGGGAGGATGGAGGGGAAGGGACCATCCTGGTGGTGGTGGTGGTGGTGGGGAGGATGGAGGGGAAGGGACCATCCTGGTGGTGGTGGTGGTGGGGAGGATGGAGGGGAAAGGACCATCCTGGTGGTGGGTGGGGAGGATGGAGGGGAAGGGACCATCCTGGTGGTGGTGGTGGTGGGGAGGATGGAGGGGAAAGGACCATCCTGGTGGTGGGTGGGGAGGATGGAGGGGAAGGGACCATCCTGGTGGTGGTGGTGGGGAGGATGGAGGGGAAAGGACCATCCTGGTGGTGGGTGGGGAGGATGGAGGGGAAGGGACCATCCTGGTGGTGGTGGTGGTGGGGAGGATGGAGGGGAAAGGACCATCCTGGTGGTGGTGGTGGGGAGGATGGAGGGGAAAGGACCATCCTGGTGGTGGGTGGGGAGGATGGAGGGGAAGGGACCATCCTGGTGGTGGTGGTGGGGAGGATGGAGGGGAAAGGACCATCCTGGTGGTGGTGGTGGGGAGGATGGAGGGGAAAGGACCATCCTGGTGGTGGGTGGGGAGGATGGAGGGGAAGGGACCATCCTGGTGGTGGTGGTGGGGAGGATGGAGGGGAAAGGACCATCCTGGTGGTGGTGGTGGGGAGGATGGAGGGGAAAGGACCATCCTGGTGGTGGTGGTGGGGAGGATGGAGGGAAAGGGACCATCCTGGTGGTGGTGGTGGGGAGGATGGAGGGGAAGGGACCATCCTGGTGGTGGTGGTGAAGAGGATGGAGGGGAAGGGACCATCCTGGTGGTGGTGGTGAAGAGGATGGAGGGGAAGGGACCATCCTGGTGGTGGTGGTGGGGAGGATGGAGGGGAAGGGACCATCCTGGTGGTGGTGGTGGGGAGGATGGAGGGGAAGGGACCATCCTGGTGGTGGTGGTGGGGAGGATGGAGGGGAAGGGACCATCCTGGTGGTGGTGGTGGTGGGGAGGATGGAGGGGAAAGGACCATCCTGGTGGTGGGTGGGGAGGATGGAGGGGAAGGGACCATCCTGGTGGTGGTGGTTGGGAGGATGGAGGGGAGGGGACCATCCTGGAGGTGGTGGTGGTGGGGAGGATGGAGGGGAAAGGACCATCCTGGTGGTGGGTGGGGATGATTGAGGGGAAGGGACCATCCTGGTGGTGGGTGGGGATGATTGAGGGGAAGGGACCATCCTGGTGGTGGTGGGGAGGATGGAGGGGAAGGGACCATCCTGGTGGTGGTGGTGGGGAGGATTGAGGGGAAGGGACCATCCTGGTGGTGGTGGGGAGGATGGAGGGGAAGGGACCATCCTGGTGGTGGTGGTGGGGAGGATGGAGGGGAAGGGACCATCCTGGTGGTGGTGGGGGGGATGGAGGTAAATGAAAGCGTCAGCATCTGCGAACTCAAACATGTGTAAGTACCGGTCTTTTATACCGCAAGTATTAGAACACGATTGGATAGATGAGAAGGTAATAAGTGACGTAGCAATTGAGTCTTCCTGGCAGAACTTAACGCTAAAGCTTCCATTTCTTCCAGTCTTACAGCTATTATGAAATGGTGGCAAATATAAATAAAAGTCAATTTTCAATAAATATTATTAATGATAACAGTATTACTACTACTAATAATAATAATTTTGTTTTAATATATTTATATATAAAAATATTTGCTCAAGGAACACATCATGGAAAACAAAACATTTTTTTGCTCTTTTGAATACTGTTCATCACATAATGGTATTGAGATGATCATAACAAAACATTTATACATTTAAGTCTTAAAGATTCTAAAATAGCAAAATTGGCCAGTGTACTTCTCTGGGTCAGAGAAAGGGTATAAAATGCTCATGTAAAACTAATTTAGACTGTTTTTAGAAGGCATCTGGGAAGAAAAATGGCATTGCTACAAAAGTGTTGAATATGGCCCCATTGATTCACATTCATTTGAAGAAAGGCCAAAAGATTTTTTGAGTCAGCCATGCATAGCAATAGCTTTATGGAGCTCACAGCCACCAGATGCCCTCAGTCGCCTCTCTGGGGTTCAGTTCTGACATAAACCAAGGCAGATGGTCCATTTCTTTAAAGATTACTCCTGCCCTCCATCTCTCTGTGTGGTTCAGGGAGTTCAGTGAGCAGAACAGAAGCGAGCGCTGCTGTGGCAGGAGGGCTCCGAGAGGGTCACTCGTTTTCAGGCCGGAGATGACAGACTGTCGTTGGGGGGCGAGAGGAGCAACTAGCTGCTCTGCTTCATTTCTGACTGACTTATTCCTAATTATATGGTCATAAAGCAAGAAGAAAATTTCCACCTTATTGCGCCCACTCTCACATTTTTTCATGCTACATTGTCTCGATGTCTTTTGAACAGTTTAATTACCCTTATACACTCTCACAGAGACTAGAGATATTCAGACTGCTACTTTATCTGGAGTCTCATATCTAGAAGATATTCATCTTTTTGATGAAAGAATGTCATTTCTTTTGTGTATTTTTTTCTGCTCTGTCATTCCTGTTATTAAGTCATTTTATCAATGTGATTCTTTTTTCAGAACTGCATTCCGCAGTATCATTTAGGACACTGGAAACGACTTGGTAAGTTTATCAATCCCCCAAACTCATTCCACTATCTGTTCCTCGAGTCATGTAAATGAGGGATGTGTGTGCCCATTTCTTATTTTCAGAAAAGATGAGGCAATATATCAGCAACCACAATCTGCCCCTTACACTGGCGGGAGCTTCCTACGATGGTGTCTCTGTCAATGATGTTATATTTAGTGGGCGGACTGCAGCTGAGGATCTCGTTGGAAAAGTATGACTTGCACTAACTTGATTTTGACAGAGTGAGATGCGTTTATTGAAGATTTGATTGGCATTTTTGTGATTCCTGGGAAGGATCTTAAAAATGCACTCTAACATAAAAACAACATGCTTTGGAAAATGTACATCCAATTGTTTGAAAATGTAATATACTTCAAAAATCATTATTAATATAATTTAGTTTATCTTGTTTCCAGTAAAATAGAAATATTTAAATGTCATTAAAAGAGATACATTGATGTATACTTCACTCAAGATATTTTCTCTGAAAACAGTTTTTGCTCTCTTATTTTTTGTACTCCACTGTGATTGGTTAGCTGGCCCAGTGTGTTGTGATTGCCACCGTGTGTTCAGGAAATGTCCCTCCCCTTACCATAACCGTAGTTTCATCTGATCGGGTGTAAATATGAAGGATGCCATCAATTTCAAACCAATTCAGGCCTGAATCAGACTTAACAATGTTAACAAACAAGAGGATCGTACAGAACGGATTTAAAGCACAGGCTTTGCAAGCATGGATTTTACATGACGTTTTAGAGTGTTTTTTTTTTTTTTTTTTGAGTTTGGGGGGGGGGGTTCTTATACATTTAAGATATGATGTTATACACCATTTAATCATTATATTTGTCGGAAACCTATGGTAATACAAACAGTAATTGATCACAAAACCATGGTTCATTTTCCTAAGGTGCGTGGAACAGCCTTACAAAAGCAAGAGCTTACAAAAGCTAGGAGCCAAATAGCTTTGCCCTTTGTTTACATCGTAGCAACAACATAAAACTTATAATTGGAACTGTAAATAGAAAATGCAACTACAAATAATAAGACATACTTACAAGTTGTACTCCACAAACAACAGGTTGTCCCGACAAAGTGGGAACTGCTCTGTTTCAGAAGAAGCTTTTGTGCGTAGCCTACATTGTTTTCTCTTAGGTTCTGGAAGCTGTTCTCCGTATAATATGCAGCACACAGATAACATAGGGGTTATAATGTTCAGGAACTGTTTTTTAAATATATTTTAACCACTCTAAGTTCGTCAGCCTTAGGAAGGTCAAACAAATGAGTTTTGGGAACGGGGTGGAAAAAACAGTCTCTCTTTGACATAGCGACAACTTCTCTAGGGCCGCTCAATCAGGGCTTGTCTTCTTTTTTGCGTATTCGTTTTAGTTCGTAGAGAGTGAATTCTGTTAAATAAAATATCTCCCTTTGAGGTTTGTAACCTTGCAGATCTTTTTATGCTCAAACAGCAACATTACACAAAGTAAAGTTAAAAAGTGAAAAAGCATAATATAGGACCCCTTTAAAAAAAAAAAAGCAGCTGGCTTGGGATGAATAAACTTCTATTCTCATGCAATTTAAGTAAATGTTTTAAGCAGGTTTAGATATTTTCTACTAAAAAAAAGATTTAAAATGTAGTGAATGCAGTGAATGAGCCATTCAAATAATTTACTTTATCAGTAATATCAGTCAAAGGATTGTTCCATGATGTTCATCTGTGGTGAAAATTAAACTTGGATGAGGTATATAATATCTTTTCATAATTCAGTTTCCTCAGTTTTTGACATATTGGGCTGAGAAATTGTCAATTGCTATTAGTATCTCACCCAGAACTTCTGTTTGTCAGAATCACGCTTCCCGTTAGGAAAGATCACGTTGACCTACGTTCAAGTCACCACAGCAACTATCAAAAATGGCCAGAGATCTCAAATGTTCAAAATATAGTGTTGTTTCTTCCATTTGTCTGAAAGATGATGATAGTTTTCAGGTATGATAGGACAGGCTGAGATGAAGTACCATTAAATCAGGGTGCACTAAAGACACTTTGCTCTGAAAATGAAGTGGCTTCAATGGCATATTTACAAGTTCTATTTTACATTTGAGCCAAGTAGCAGATTGGAAATGGCTGTGACCATCTGCATTGTCACTGACTTTCAACGTTTACTTTTCAAAAAGATCAAAGTTTACTATTACTCAGAAAAGCAGACTTTAATGGGTGCTTGAGAGCCGTTTGTTTCACACACAGATGCTTTGCAAAGCATTTATCTTAATGTCACAGAGCTTCAATCTGCAATAATGTTTTATCAGAGAAATGCACAGGTGTACCTTTTTCATGCAGTACTTGTGAGACATCATTAAAAGCAGTTTTATATTGCATTTATGGATCCACATTCAATGGAGACTGATTGTGTCGTTTTCAGCCTTAGGTGTTTAACTTTATAGTGAATGACTAAAAAGTATGTCAATGAATTGTACATTAAACCGCTCAATAAATGATCATGTATTTTATGCGATTATCTTGAGTATGATAAATAAAGGAGATGTGTTTGGTTTGTTGTGTGTAATGTGGTTAAACGGTTTAATAACTTCTATCCGTTAATGAGCAGACAGTGAACGGTGCCAGTACAGTTTAAAGCCAAGAAGCCTCCAGCTAAACAGGAGTTTACATTAATAAAACACAGAGCCTAGATGAAATATTTAATGTGCAAATTACACAAGCCCACCCCCTGAAACCATTGTCTGACAAATGGTAATTTCACCTTGAAATGTTATTGTTCACAATGACATGCTTCTGTTGTTTCCACCTCTGGGTCTGTTGACAGCTCAGTTGGAAAGTTATTTGACAGAAGGCACACTGTCAAACACAGACAAAAAACACTGTGCCTGCCAGCAACCTTGAAATGCATTGTTCCTCGTTGGTATTGTAATTTGCACATTTTAAGTGATATCCTGTCCTGTCTGGCTCACTCTGCCTCAATTTTGAGTGTCAATACTTGTTGAAGTAAGGTGTGCTATTACTTTTCGCTATTACTTCAGATTTACAATTTTTTTTAAATCCCATAGATTTACATTGTAGAACTCAAGCCATATGCAGGTTCTAGAATACCACCACATACTAGCAACGTGCCGAAAAAAACCCAGTAACCTTTAGAAACTGCTTAGCAACAACCTGGCGGTGAGTTTTGTCTGGCCAAACACCACCTTGTTTCAAAAATCTGATTAATTATTTGTGTAATTGCAGTGTACTTACCTAGGTAACCACATGGGTTAAGGTTAGGTTTAGGGGTAAGTTCCCGGTTAGTACCTAGTTATTATCCAGTTTGTATAGCATTAGCATATTGTGATAAAGTTCATTATTTTCCATAATGTAATGATACAAATTAAACTTTCATATATTTTAGATTCATTGCACACCAACTGAAATATTTCAGGTCTTTTATTGTTTTAATACGGATGATTTTGGCATACAGCTCATGAAAACCCAAAATTCCTATCTCAAAAAATTTGCATATCATGAAAAGGGTCTCTAAACGAGCTATTAACCTAATCATCTGAATCAACTAATTAACTCTAAACACCTGCAAAAGATTCCTGAGGCTTTTAAAAACTCCCAGCCTGTTGCATTACTCAAAACCGCAATCATGGGTAAGACTGCCGACCTGACTGCTGTCCAGAAGGCCATCATTGACACCCTCAAGCAAGAGGATAAGACACAGAAAGAAATTTCTGAACAAATAGGCTGTTCCCAGAGTGCTGTATCAAGGCACCTCAGTGGGAAGTCTGTGGGAAGGAAAAAGTGTGGCAAAAAAACGCTGCACAACGAGAAGAGGTGACCGGACCCTGAGGAAGATTGTGGAGAAGGACCGATTCCAGACCTTGGGGGACCTGCGGAAGCAGTGGACTGAGTCTGGAGTAGAAACATCCAGAGCCACCGTGCACAGGCGTGTGCAGGAAATGGGCTACAGGTGCCGCATTCCCCAGGTCAAGCCACTTTTGAACCAGAAACTGTGGCAGAAGCGCCTGACCAAAATCATCAGTATTAAAACAATAAAAGACCTGAAATATTTCAGTTGGTGTGCAATGAATCTAAAATATATGAAAGTTTAATTTTTATCATTACATTATGGAAAATAATGAACTTTATCACAATATGCTAATTTTTTTAGAAGGACCTGTATGTAGCCTACAGTACATTCAGCACAGGACTGTAAAATAAATTGCTACCAATAATTCTATATCATGAAAGTCCCTGTGGAGAGCCAAGCCGCAGATCCAAATTTCCACTGTTCTATTATTTATCATTGTTGTCTTTCATACCCACGCTTTCCGTCAGTTCCTTAATTTAAAAAAAGAACAGCATATGGTTATGTCTAAAATGGTGGGAAAGGAAAACATATGGCTGTAAAAGAGATTACAGAACAGCATGAAAGAGACACATTGGCATTCCTTCGGGAGCGGTTGGCAGTCGTCCTCTGCTCCTGACAGAATCAGCCTGGCATCAGTTTTGCTGTGAGCTGGTATGTCCCTCTGTTTTATTTCTGGACCACTAAAACAATTTTATACTGGTTTTGTTCACCTTAAAGGAGATGCAGAGTGCATACTTACAAGCTCTTTGGAATACTTGATTCTCATTGGCAGGGTTGCCAGGTCTGTGCAGCTAAAGTAGTCCCAAAATAACCTAATGCGATTTTCTCCGTCAGGCGACCAAATTCTCCACTGAATATGTACATCTGGGAGGGGTGTTTCGGGGGTTGTTGGAGGGCCGAAATCATACACACAGGAGTGGAAATCAACCCTTGGAAAAACGTATCACTCGGCAACAACTTAAGAGTAGCCCAATTCTATGGGATAACTGCAGACTTGGCAACACTGCTCAATTTTAGTTCAAATATTTTTGTATAATTATATGCACACTAAAGTATGCAATTGACTGTGGTAATTTTACATCTGTGTCAGTTTACTTATTTTCATATCACAGGCACATTTCAGCTATATCTCATAATTGCAACTTGTTTCTCATAATTCTCACTTAATATGATCTTATTCTCCAGTGTGACTTTTGTTGTAATTGTGACTTTATATTTACCCAATGTGACTTTTAATCTCAATAGTGACTTTATTTCTCATAACTGTGGTTTTAATATCTTTCAGTGTAACAACTTTAAATTTAATGATCATAATTTAAACTATTTTGTCGTTTGTGACTATTTCACAATATAAGTTTATTTCTTATTTTAACATTTATTTTGAGGCATAAATGGGCTTATTTCAAATTATTTTTTTATTTAATTTCAAATCTATATTTAAAATGTGTAT